TTAAGTGACTCATAGGGAATCTTCTTAACAAGAGGTCTAGCCATGCAACTATTTATGATGTAGCATGCAAAAATTCAGCAAACTTAGCATTTTCAAATTCAGTTCCATGATCAAACCTAATTGATGCAAGTTGATTACCTAGTTGTTTCTGAGTTTTTCTAACAAAAGAAGTAAGCATGTCAAATGCTTCATCTTTAGATGTTAAAAACAATGTCCAAGTAAACCTAGAGTAATCATCAACAAGCACCATCACATATCTTTTACCACCTCTGCTTAATGTTCTCATTGGACCACAGAGATCCATATGGACCAGTTCCATCGTTCTGGTGGTGCTTACCACTTTCTTGCATTTAAAAGAGGATCTTACCTGCTTCCCCCTTGCACAAGCCTCACAAACTTTGTCTTCCTTGAACTTGATGTTAGGCAGCCCTATCACCAGGTCCTTGGAGACTAATTTGTTGAGTTGACTCAGACTTGCATGTCCAAGTCTCTTGTGACAAAGGAGGGGATCATTGTCCAACACACTTAAGCAAGTGAGTTCATTTTCTGAAAGTGTGGACAAATCTACAATGCATGTATTGTTTACTCTTTTTTCCTGCAAAACAATCTTGTCAGTGGTAAGATTAATCACAAAATATTTGGTAGAGGTGAATGCTACCAAGTTACCTCTATCACATAATTGTGATACACTGATTAGACTGTACTTTAGGCCATCTATCAAGTAGACATTCTCAATAGAGTGAGAATCAGTCTTACCTACCTTTCCAACCCCAATGATCTTACCTTTCTTCCCATTTCCAAAGGAGACATTACCTCCTTTGAGGTCCTCAAGTGAAAGGAACTGGTTCTTGCTTCCTGTCGTATGCTTTGAACAGCCACTATCCATGTACCATATTTGGCTGCTCCCCTTCACTTGGACCCGCGAAAGGAAATCAGGGGTTAGTCTTAGGAACCCAAACTAGTTTGGGTCCTTTCTATAGGCAAAAGGGTGAATCAAATTCTTTTTAGCCCAACCTGGCAGCCTATTTTTCCCTTGAACAAATTCTTTATTCTTTTGACTAGCCTTTTATTTTGCAATACATTCACTTTTATAGTGACCAGTTTTACCACAGTGTGTGCAAATTTTGTTCTCAGGAAGTGTAAGGTACTTGTTTTTGGGATCCCACTTAGGTGCAGGGGTCCCGTAGCCAAGTCCTCTCTTATTGCTACTGTGGTGTTCATGTAACCATGAAAGTGCATCGGAGGACCTATTCCATTTACAGGTTCTATCTAACTCGTGCTTAACCTTGTTTAGATCCTCCTTAAGGACTCTTATCTGCTCATCTCTTTTGTACAACTCATCTTTCATTTTTCCTACATTTTCTTCTAAAGTGAGTTGTGTGTGATCAGATTTCTTTTTACCAGTTCCTAATTTCAATTTTAGATTTTCATATTTAAGCTCTAGGACTGTGGTGTCAAGTTCATGAACTTGCTCTTCAACTCAGCATTTTTACTATCACTTTCACTAGCCCTAAGTTCCAGGTTTTTGCACTTAGCTTTCAGAATCACACATTCCTTAGACAATTGTTCCTTTTCATTGTTTATAATCTCAAATTCATCAATGAAATCTAGAAGTAATTCAGATAGACTTTCTTTAGACAAAAACTTAATCTTGTCATTGAGATGAATTATACTTACCTCAGATTCCTCATCAGATTCTCCAATTGCCATAAGTGCTTGTTCATCTCCATCTTCACCCTCTGAGTCCTCATCTGAGCTTTCACCCCAAGCAGCAACCATAGTCCTTTGTTAACTCCTTTGTTCTTCTTGGGATGAACCTGTTCCTTCTTCCTGTTCCTTTGTTCAGCTCTTTCCTTCTTCCATTCATTTCCCATTGAGGGCAATTTTTCGATGTGGTGATCAGTCTTCCCACACTTGTAACACCCCTCATCGGTTTCTTTTTAGGAACCCTTGGTTTGTTGTAGCTTCCACTTCTTGNTTTTTCGACTTTTTTATTACCAACTATTCGAACTTTATGGGCGAACAACTTCTCCCCGGCTCCCGCCCTCCTTTTATTTTGGGATCCTTACCCTAATAGCCAGCTCAATTCACAGTTTACTTTTTCTAACCTATATACATAAATTATATATTAATTATATCTAACCTATAAATAAATTATACATTAATTATATCTAACCTATATACATAAATTATACATTAATTATATACGATTGTAAATATATAAAATATATTATACATTTAGTATACACGCGTCGGCAATTTTGAGTTTAACGGTTGTATGATCAGCTATTTAGGTTAATTCTTCTTTTATTTATTTTCCTACAGTGAAATCAATATGATCAGAATCAGTTCTTATGGGCTATTTGCAGTCATACCCTATATTTGTGTCACCTTTTAACTTGTACCGTATTTTTAAAAATTATTGGTTTGGTAGTCAGCTAATAAAAAAACCGTAATAATATGACCATTATACCCCTGACAAAACATATAAAAGATGCATCACGCATAAATCACTTTGCGGTTCTCCTCCGTCACTCCGTCTCTCCTCAGATCTCCTCTCGCAAACCAGAAATTTGAACCAGATCCAAATTCCAAATTCAAAATTACTAAATACATTGTAAGTATTGCAATTCATCTTCAGAATTCAAATTAGTTTTGAAACTGATTGATCTTCACGATATATGTTTCTATGATTATTTTCGTAATTGACGGATGAAACATGAAGTTTTCACTGAAAGATTTCACTAACGGATGAAGTTGCATTCTAAAGTTGTTTCACGTTGAATTCTAAAGTCAAGCGGAAGATTCTTCACGTTAAACCTAATTTAACGTCAAAGCTAAAAATTCAAATATGCTGAAGTTTTGTCCTACATAATATGCTGAAGTTTTTGGTTTATTTGCTAAACAAGCTGAGTTTTTACTTAATTTGCTAAAACTTCACACCAAAAATGCTGAAGTATTTGTCTTGCAGTCTAAACAAGCTGAAGTTTTTAGTTCATTTGCTAAGACTTCAGCACCAAAATATGTTGAAGTTATGTCCATCGTTCAATAGTTTTGTCATGAGCTTTTTCCGAAACTTCAGCAGAAAATGCTGAAGTTGTTTAGTTCATTTGTAAAAACTTCAGGACAAATGTGCTGAAGTTTTCCTCCTGCACTATGTAATTTTTTAGTGAATTTTATTTAATACATGCTGAAGTTAAATTTAGTTCATTTGTTGAAAGTTCATACCAAAACGTGCTTAAATTTTGTCTTGCATTAAACAGCGTTTTCATGAGCTTTTGTTCGAAAACTTCAGTATAAACAAGCTAAAAATTTTTCGTTCATTTGCTAAGACTTCAGCACTAAAATATGCTGAAGTTTTTTCCTGCATTCAATAGTTTTGTCATGAGCTTTTTCCGAAACTTCAGCATAAAATGCTGAAGTTGTTTAGTTCATTTTTAAAAATTTCAGGAAAAACGTGCTGAAGTTTTGCTCCTGCACTATGTAATTTTCTCCTGCATGCTAAAGTTAAATTTAGTGCATTTGGTAAAAGTTCATACCAAAAGAGCTTTTTCATGAGCTTTTTTTCGAAAACTTCACTATAACTAAGCTGAAGTATTCTAGTACATTTGTTAAAACTTCAGCTTAAACGTGCTTAAGTTTTTCTCATGCAGTATTCAATTTTCTAATGAATTTAATTTTTTATGAACTTCACACTTAAATTCTTTTCTTCATCTTACTAATACTTGACACTAAACATGCTTCTGCAGGATGAGTTCGATTTTCTTTATTATTACTTTCAGTAGGAGGTTGACTTTTGATTTCAAATATTTGGATCATCATACAAAACTTATTCTGCTTAATAAACAAGAATCATTCAATACTTTCCAAAATAAAATTAGTGAAGTTAGAGATATTGATTCAACCAAGTATCCACTAATGATATGGTTTGATATTAAACTAAATACAAGCAAAGGGATGCTTGTAACTTCAGATGAAGAACTCAGAACCTGTATACATTTGCCAACAACTGATTCAGCCTACAAGAATTGCCATTTTATCGTCGAAAAAATACAACTCATTTCTGACGGTATAGCTGCTTCAGAATCTGCAGCATTCAAACCATCTCTTGCATATACAATAGATTCAGAACAATTTGCTCATTATCAACATGAACTAGAACAGCCAATAATAGAAGTAGACAACGAGCAACAACCTTCTAACATTACGGCTGCTTTAGAACATGGAATGCTGCAACAATTACCCGCCGTTACAATAAATTCATACCAGTTTGTTGACAACCAAGAAGAAGAAGGACAGCTAATAATGCAAATAGACAACCAACACACAATCCAACAAAGTTTTTTGTTACCTTCTGCAACAATAAGCAACAACGAAGATGAAAAAAATACGGAAGTTATACCGATGACATCAAATACAATTGAAGAAATTGCTAATACTTCTACTGCTTCTAAGAAATCAAGAAAAAGAGTAAGGAGAAAGCTGAAAGAATCTCCACCATGTAAAATACTTAGGCACGATGCATTGCCTGACGAAGTAAGAGTAGGATCAATTTTTGAGAACAAGAAAAACATGACTAAATTTTTCTGCAGCTTGGAGATAAACCAAAAAGTTGAATTCACTGATGTTAAATCATGTTCAAAGAGATACGAGCTGAAATGCATCGTGGAGAAATGTGGTTGGGATGTACCTGGTCCCAGAATAAAAAATTCCACACTTTTCAGGGTGATAAAATATCATAACAACCATGAATGCTCGGTTGATGCAAGAAAATCATATTAGAAGCGTGCTACATCAAATTTATAAGTGAACAAATTTTAGAACAAGTTCGAGATAAAAATATTGAGGTTACACCAGCCTTTGTAGAAAGTGAAATGAAAAAGAAATTTAGAATTGACATTAGATATCACAAGGCATGGCGTGCTATTCAAAAAGCAATTTCTTGCATAAGGGGAACACCGGAAGAGAATTACTAGATTCTTCATTCATACCTATACATAATGGTGCATAGAAACCCAGAGACGTACACTAGCATAAAAAGAGATGAGCAAAATTGGTAAGCAAAACAATATTAACCATCAACATGAAGTTTCAAATGTTCCTATTTGAAAAACTTCACACCTTATGATTTGTTTTTTTGTGTTTCACTGTACAGATTTGCTTACATGTTCAAAAGAACCCCAAACACTCAAACTTATTCATCTATCCTTGAATATGCTCAAAAGAACCCCAGATGGCTGAATTCTTCACATCCCCTCCTCATTCTCTCTCCTAGGAAACAATCAGAAATCAAGCCTGTTATTCTTTTTGGTAAAAAACTAGGGTTGCAAATTAAAATAAAAAGTGGTGGCCATGACTATGAAGGTATCGCCTTTAGGTATAAAACCCCATTTGTCATGCTTGATTTAATCAATCCTGATGATATCAAGATTGATTTAAAAGAAGAGACACTTTGGGTACAAGCAGGAGCAACCCTTGGCCAACTTTACTATGCAATTGCCAAAAAAAGGAAAGTGCATGGTTTTGCAGGAGCTGTCTGTTTTAGTATTGGCACCAGAGGGATTATTAGTGGTGGAGGGATTGTTACTATGATGAGAAAATATGGTTTAGCAGCAGATAATGTTATCGACACCCGTGTAATGGATGTCAGTGGAAAAATCCTTGATAGGAAGAAAAGGAAAGAAGATTTATTTTGGGCAATAAGAGGAGGTGGAGGAGCAAGTTTTAGTGTTATTCTTGCATGGAAACTCAAACATGTTCGTGTTCCAGAGAAGGTTACTAGTTTCACAGTTACAAGAGGTTAAAGGGTAACCAAAATCTCCTCCAAAAAATGGGAAAAATCGGACATGAATTACCTGATGATTTGCTCGTCAGAGTAGTTATACAAAATGATGGAGCAGGGAATGAGAAATATGTTGAAATCTTTTTTCAAGCATTATATCTTGGACCAGTTGATGAGTTAATTCCATTGCTCAAAGAAAAGTTCCCTGAATTTTATTTGGAGAAAAAAGATTGCTTTCAAGAGCCTGTTGTGGACTGTAGTAACAGGCCTTGTATTAAAAAAGAATGTCGTGAATCTTCATGGATTGGATCAGTCTTGTATTTCTATGGTAGGAGAACAAATGAGTCACTTGAAGTTTTGCTAGAAAAGAGTATTCCAACACAAAAGAATTATTGTAAAGCTACATATGATTTTGTGAATGTATGGGTCTAAATTTGGCAACCACGGCCGTTACCGAGTAGGACGAGGAACGAGGTTATCGTGACGCAACATCTGATCGTCGTCGTGATGAAGGACGACGACCAAGAGCGGCCAGTCGAGACGAGATGTCAACGGTAGTTTAAACTTAGTAGGAGACAGTGAGAATATGCTTTTCGTATATTCTTTATGTTGTACTTTTAGGGTTTCTTGGGAGATTGTCCCTTATAAATAGGAAGGGTTAGTAAAGAAAAGGGGGATCCGGGCAAGAGAGACAAAAGAACACTTTGTAACAGATTCAACCGAGAGAATATACTAGAAAGGCCTTATTCATTGAATACAAAAAGATACTTCATTGTTTTACATTGACAAGGTCCAAAGGTTCCTCAATCATCTCATATCTCTTCTCTTTCTACTATGTTACCAAGAAAAGAAGCTTTCCTAGAGATCTCAATAATTGGGTAGCAACTTCATATGATTACACCTATAGCATTTACTTAAATTGATTGCATATTTATGTTGCTGCATTTATGAGCATTTAATCGACTCAAACATATTAACCAACGTCTTCCCTTTTGTCTATTTTATCTATCATTTGATCTAGATTTATTATCCTTAACTAAGGTTTACTCCTCTTCTCATCATTAATTGATTTAATCAAAAGGTTTAATACTTTTTTTATCAAACAATTTGGCGTCGTCTGTGGGTTTTCTTTAGTTGAGATTTTAATTTCATCTAGATCATAAAAAGGGATAGCCATCTCTTCCCAGCTTGGCATAAACTAACAATGGTAGGAAAAGGAGATGCAAGGTTAAAAGCAATAGCAGGTGTCACAGCCAACATCTTGAACACCATCAATGAAGACGGCATGGAAGACAACGAAAACGTGATACCAAACGCTACACCTAGGAGAGACACTTCAGCTCCCCCGCACGAAAGTGTAACTGCTTTGCGCGAAAAAGAAGCCTCCACATCTACAACAAGAGAGGCACCACCGGCTGTAAAAAGACTACTGGAAGAGTGGCTAACAAACACTCTGAACAACATACTTGATAAACCCGCTCAAAGGGAGAATAGAGACATTGCATACATAGATGTCACGATATTCGCTGGCGAACAAGATGCCCCCCGCACAGGTAACACTTATACTACTGTTGACGCAGGTAATGACGCACTCGCAACCATTCTAAAGAAAATGGAGGAAATGGAAAATGAGAATAAGGCACTCTGTGACCAGATGAAGGAGCATCAAGAAAGGGTCGACAAAATACCAGGCGCCCCAAAGTTGTTACCAAAACGAGACGTTGGTCGGTTCATCGAGCAACCATACAACGAGGAAGCAGCCCCCCACGCCATTCCAAAAACCTTCAAAATGCCACCATACCTGAAAATATATGACGATACTACAGACCCAGAAGATCATATCATCCACTACGTCACAGCCGTAAAAGGCAACGATCTTTCAAAAGAGCAACTACCATCGGTGCTACTGAAAAAATTCGTCAAAACCCTAACAGGGGAGCCCTAACCTAGTACTCACAACTACCAGCACGGTCAATAGCAACGTTCGAAGAAATGGCAGACAAGTTTATCACCGCTCATGCAGGAGCTAAAAAGGTAAAAGCCAGGGTAAACGACATATTCGCCGTTAGGCAGACGCAAGGCGAGGGACTCAGGGACTTCCTGGCCCGGTTTAACAGGGTGAGAATGAGCTTGCCGAATGTGTCAGAGGGGATGGCGGTAGCAGCCTTCCAGAACGGGTTAAGCAGGAATGGGTCGAGAGCGACCAAAAAGCTGTTAAGCAGGCTCATGAAATACCCTCCCACCACTTGGGAAGAAATCCACAACGCCTATTCCGCTGAGGTAAGGGCCGACAAGGATGACCTCAATGGCCCGATCCAACGGCTGACGTCAGTTCAAGCTGAAGCAAGGAAAGATCGTCGCAATGACGGTCGAAGGGATCAGTTGGGACCCCGTCTCGGCCGAGAAAGACATCAGCCCTATATCAGGACATCCATCCCACCTCCTCTGCGGCACACAAATGCCCCTCCTCGACATATCGCGTCACACTGAAACGAAAGAGGTATGCCTCCGCTCTTATCTGCTCACAATTTTTGGGTTTCTCCTTCAGAAATAGTGTACGCACTAGAGAAGCTCGGCCCAAAGGTACAATGGCCGCAAAAGATGAAGTCCGACCCAAGCACCCGGAAGTCGAACGTTCTTTATGAATTCCACCAGGAAAGGGGTCATAAGACCGAGGATTGCATAGGTCTGTGCCAGGAGGTAGTGAGAATGCTAAATCATGGACACCTAAAAGAACTGCTGAGCGACCGAGGACGAGCTAACTTTGCCCGCGGACGCGAACAACCCCAGGAACCTCCAAAACCGCCCTCTCCCGCTCGTACCATACAGATGATTATCAGCGGAGGCGATGACACAGCATCAACCATGTAAAGTTCACCACCACACACAAACTCAAACGGTCGATCACTCATGAACGGTATGATGACCTCAAAGATAGTATCATCTTCGATAAATCAGATACTGACGGTTTCTCTTTCCCTCACTACGATGCTCTTGTTATCACTTTACGTATTGCAGATGCTGACGTAAAAAGGATAATGGTGGAAGACGGAATAGGCGCATGTATTATCCATCCTCGAGTCCTCGCACAGATAAGACTCGAAAATAAGATAATACCGCGTTGCATAACACTAACATGTTTTAATAATGCAGTCAAGCGAACTTCTGGAGAGATAGTGCTACCCGTTATAGCCGGAGGAGTCACCCTGGAAACAACGTTTCACGTCATGGACCAAGATACAGCCTACAACGCTATAGGGCGCCCATGGATACACGCCATGCGAGCAGTCCCGTCAAGTCTCTATTAAGTAATCAAGTTTCCTACTCCATGGGGGTATCCAGCATCCGGGGTGAAAACGCACCGCACAAGAATGTTATCGCATCGCCCAGGATTGCGCACACACCCAACAACTAAAAGGAGCAAGCGCGGAAGCATAGCAATCAGCGATGTCGGGAACCAAACTCGACATACAGATAGACGTAATCAAGGATCCCGACATCATGGAAGCCTCCGAGACAACCATAAATGATTCGATCTCGTCCAACTAGACGACAAGGACAATATAAAAAAGGCTTATATAGGGCACAATCTCTCAGAACCAGGTAAGTTTCATAAATTCTTAACTGACAGTGCCGATTTGTTTGCCTTCTCCCATTAAGATATGCCAGGCATACCGAAAGACATCGCCACGCACTAACTGAATGTTGACCCCCTCTATCCGCCAGTGCGGCAAATGAGGAGGAAGTTGAATACCGCAATCAACGAGGCCGTCAGCGAAGAAGTTGATAAGCTGCTCACCAATGGCTCCGTCCGGAAGTCAAAATATCCTCAGTGGGTTGCCAATGTGGTCATGGTGAAGAAGAAAAACGGGAAGTGGCCGATGTGTGTTGATTTCACAGACCTAAACAAGGCATGCCCAAAGGACTCCTTCTCATTGCCACACATCGACCAACTCATCGACGCAACAGCAGGACACGAGTTGCTAAGCTTCTTGGATGCCTACTCGGGTTACAACCAAATCCTCATGGAGGAAGAGGACCAAGAGAAAACTACTTTCATCACTCACCAAGGAACGAATGTTACAGAGTCATGTCGTTCGGGCTGAAAAATGCGGGGGCGACACACCAAAGGTTAGTCACCAAGATGTTCAAAGATCAACTTGGCAAAACAATGGAAGTCTACATCAATGACATGATGGTTAAATCAAAAAGGAAAGAGGACCACACCGATCACCTGAAAGAATCCTTCGACATTCTGAGGCGGTACGGCATGAAACTAAACCCCAAAAAATGCGCCTTCGGCGTAACCTCAGGCAAATTTCTAGGTTTCCTGGTATCACAAACTAGCATCGAGGTCAATCCAGACCAGATCATGGCCATCGAAGGAATACCCGAAATGTTAACCAACAAAAAGCAGGTACAACAATTGACGGGTCGGATAGCAGCCCTTTCAAGGTTCATTTAACGGTCATCGGATAGATGCCATAAATTTTTTAATGTGCTAAAGAAAGACAACGGGCTCCAGTGGAATTCGGAATGTGTCGACGCCCTAAGAAAACTGAAAACATACTTGTCCTCGCCGCCATTACTCGCCAAGGCAGATCCAGGCGAATGCCTCCTTGTCTACCTAGCCGTCTCCGAAGTCGCGGTAAGCGCAGTTTTGGTTCGCAAAAACAAAGGTACGGAATCTCTGATTTACTATATCAACAAAACCTTAATTGATGCCGAAACGAGGTATCCCCACCTCAAAAGTTTGGCTCTAGCATTGGTCATAGCTTCACAGAAACTTAAACCATATTTCCAATGTCACCCCATAAAGGTGGTGACAACTTTTCCCCTCAAGTGCATCCTGCACAAACCCGAATTGTCTGGTAGATTGGACAAATGGGCCATAGAATTGAGCGAGCACGATATAACATATCAACCGCGAACTGCGATAAAGTCGCAAGTACTCGCTGATTTCGTCGCCGACGTCAGTGCAGAAATACTGCCCGAGGTCGAGCAAGAAGCGCTTCGCACCTC